GGATCTGTGGAGGGAGCTGGCCAGTTAGGACTATCACATGCCTGGTACATTGAAGCAGGATGGATGGGAAGGTTGGGCTTCACTTGGGCCCCCGGCAGAAAAGATTCTGATAGGTCCTGTGGAGGGAAGGGAGAATGATTGTGGTTGGCCAATGTAAGAAGGTGTCCCTGAGATAGGGTGACAGCCCAGGCTGCTCTGGTCCCAGGGGCAGGTTGAACGTGCTGGCCAACGTGATCCGCAAGGACCTGGAGCAGATCTTCTGCCAGTTTGACCCCAAACTGGAGGCAGCGGATGAGGTGGGTACCACACCCTGGTCCTGTTGTATCCCAAGAGGGTCTGGTGTTTGGAAGGTGAACTGGGAGGGTTTGGGCCTTGAGTTTCCAGGCTGATGGACCTGAAAATGGATAGACCTGGAGAAGAGTTGGAGAGGCTGGGAGGTTTGCATAAGGTCCCTAGGGCTTTGGGGAGCAGCTTCTGCCGATGGATAACTCAGGCCAACTTCCTTGTTTCCATCTAGGGAAACTGAGCCTCAGAAAAGTGTGGGGGATTGCCAGAAGTTACTCCTTACAGCTTTTATTGCTGACCCTTTCATCCACTGTCATTTTATCAGCCTAGAATGGCCCCTGTTTGTTCCAGTATGGGAGCGCCATTGGCTTCTGTGCCCATTAATCAGCCAGGGAAGGGCACGCTCTCCTGCTCCCACTCTGGATTGTGTGCTGGTGTGACTGTGGTCATGCCAAGCCTCAGCCCCGCTGCCTTCCTCTCCTCTGCCTTGTTCAAGGCCTGATCTGTCTTTCCTCATCCTCTGGGCATTGTGTCTGTCCTTCCCTCCTCTGTGTCTCTTTGTCTTTAGCATTGTCTGTCTTCAGCCTTCTCTCTCTCTCTCTCTCTCTCTCTCTCTCTCTCTCTCTCTCTTTCAGAGTGTGTGTGTGTGTGTGTGTGTGTGTGTGTGTGTGTGTTCTTGTATCTATGTGTGTATTTATTTTCCTTCCAGGGCAAGGGAGGGACCTTGTCTCCAAAGCCCCAGCACCCAGCACAGGTGTTTGATTGGTTGAAATGAGTCATAGGAACTGATGGCTCCATGGTACATGGTGCTAGAGCAGGCCTAGGGCCTACATGGCTGACTCCTAGCTCAGAATCTTTGTGCACCCTGTTCATGCTGCTCAGCAACCTTCCCACCTGTAAGCTTCAGTTTGCTCCTCTGTAGAACAGGGATGAAGGCACTTGTCCCAAGGTGGCATGAGGAATTGAAGAGAGGACGTTGAAGGCGAGAACTGAAAACTTGGCTGTAGGGTAGTTTTTAAAGTTTACCAATATTTTTAGCAGCAGTTAAGAACACTGGTTGTTCTTGCAGAAGACCTGGATTTGAATTCCAGCACCCACATGGCAGCTAAGAACTGTCCGTAACTCCAGTTCCAGGGGATCCAACAGCCTCTTCTGTCCTCTATGGGCATTGCATGACACGGGTGGACTTACCTACATACAGGCAATACACGCATACACATAAAATTAAAATAATAAATGAAATTTAAATTTTAAAAAGAAACAAACAAAAAACCCAAACAAGCAAAAAAGAGAGTACGGGGTCTATCTTATACAAGACACTATAAATCACATGAAAAAGGTCAATTAAAAAAACAAAAAAACCCCAACAAAAAAAACCCTGAGTTTTATTGAAAAAAAAAAAAAAGGAAAATTGAAAAAGAAATGGACCATTATTTAGAGAAAATTTGATGCAATGAAAATGTTTCCTCTGTGAGACCTCACGCCTGCGGTGCTTTTATGTGTGTGTGCTTGTGCTTGGTGAGGTCTGTTCTCTGCAGACACATGGCTTTGTCCAGGAGCCATGAGGCCAGCACAGGGACTGTGGGCTCCTAGCTGTTCTCACTTACCAAGTTGTCACTGTTTGATGCCAACACATGAGGAGCCTGTGTTGGCGTCTTACAGCTGCAGTGTCTCCTGAGTGGGCACTTGGTGCTGTAATGAATGCCCTGTCCTTGTAAGTGAGCGAGTGGACTGTAGTTGTCAGATGACATCAGAAGTGCACAGCCCGGGCAGCCGGCTGCCCCCGGCCCACCCACAGCATGTACCCCCTGAAGCTGTTCCCTTTGAGCTGTTGAATTTTCTTTCTTTGTCAATTGGATAGGTGCAACAATGATTCTTTATAACACATTTCTTTGATATGAATTCAACTGAATATTTTGAATCACTTGTAACTCTTGTTTTGTAAGTTCCCCTTTATGGCTTTTATTCCATTTTTTAAAATATTTTTTTTAATTACATGTATTTCTATATGTGGGTTTATGCATGTGAGTTTACTGCTGGAGTTACAGGCTACTGTGAACAGCCCAACATAGGTGCTGGGAATTGAACTCAGATCCTCTAGAAGAGCAATACATCCTCCCACCCACTGAACTGTCTCTCCAGCCCTGCTTTTGTTCAGTTTTCTCTGGGACTTTGGGGCCTCATCTCACTGATTTTTAGAAGTATTTTGCATATTGAGGGCATTAGCTCTTTGCTCATTTGTCTTAGAAATATTTTCCTCAGCTTAATTCCCCCTTAGCATAGTCCTAGATTTTCTTCCTCCTGCCCATGACAGATTTACTCTGGTTTAGCTGTCTTACCACTTAACAGCTTTGGATATTGTTTAGAATGTAAGATTTTCCTACTCCCAGATTCTAATACACATCTTGTTTTCCTCCAACATTTCTATGTGTGTGATTGCTTCAGTGAGGACTAGCTCTGCTGGCAAGTTGGCCCAGCACCACCATGAGTTGCCCTTCATTTTTGGAGGCCACAGCTCCTGGTTGTCTCATTTTCTCGGTGCTTTAAGTGTGTCCTGTGCCCATGGTTAGACATGCTGGGAAGACAACAGGTAATGTTGTAGACTAGGCTCAGGAGCAGGAGAAGCCTGCCTTTCCTCTGGAGGCACAAGAAGGGCAGTATGATTAGGAGATGGCACATCAGGACAGTGTAGCCTTCAGAGGGAACTGTTCCAGCCCTGGGTGGCTTGAATATTTAGACTTCTGCCCACCTGCCTGGCAGGGGAGGTGGTAGGTTCATTGCATCCTACTTTTATACTTCAGGGCTCTGGGGATGTCAAATACCATCTGGGCATGTACCACGAGAGGATCAACCGTGTCACCAACAGGAACATCACACTGTCATTGGTGGCCAACCCCTCCCATCTGGAAGCTGTTGACCCTGTGGTACAGGGGAAGACTAAGGCAGAGCAGTTCTACCGTGGGGATGCCCAGGGCAGGAAGGTGAGCTTGCTTGGGCTCAGAGAGATCTTAGAGTCAACTCCTGGGGACTGGACTCTGAGAGACTGGATACTGTGTATCTAGGCCCTAGATCTCAGTGGTAGAGGAGGTAGGATGGGTTACATAGGCTGGGGCATAAGATCTTGCTGGCTTACACCCTGCCCTGCAGGTCATGTCCATCCTGGTCCATGGGGATGCTGCCTTTGCTGGCCAGGGTGTGGTCTATGAGACCTTCCATCTGAGTGACCTGCCTTCCTATACCACCAATGGCACTGTGCATGTTGTGGTCAACAACCAGGTAAGGTGTGGGCTCTATGCCAGGCTGCATGTCCATCCCTGGAAATTCAGGCTGTGGGTTGGTGGGAAGAGTAAGCTAACCATGGTACTCAACCCACTGGTCTGCCACTTCCCAGCATGTGACTTCAGGCAGAGAATCCCTGTGTCATGATCTGTGAAACTGGTAGATACATAATGTAATGCATATAAATATGTTGCGGATCCAAAATATTCAGACCTGGTGTGGTGGTACCTGTCTGTTATCCTAGCACTGGGTTACATGAAAGTTCAAGAACAGTTTGAGCTCTATAGTGACTTCTGTCTCAGAAAACCCAAGGAGAGTGCCTGCCTAGCATATGCAGCTTCTTGGATTTGATCCCCAGCAGGACAGACAGACAGACAGACAGACA